ATTTAAGAAATTGAAGGTAACCTTCATGTGACCTTCAAATTACTCTTCAAGGTCAAACCTATGGTACCATCTTATGTCCCCCTCGAAACCATACAACTTTTGTCTGAAACATTTTTTCATATCTCTTTTAGTTTTTTAAAAAATCGACTGTATAAATTAAAATGGCCCACCCTGTATATATATAACGTATTTGGGGGAATCTTATTGTCGCCAGTGATAATTAAAAAACGGGGGAGGTATTTTTCAAAGGAGTCGACCAAACTGGCAAAAGGTGATCTTTATTTAGTTCACAACGTTTCGACCTCTATCAGGTCCTTTTCAAGTGTCGTCTGGAAACAATTTTTTACATATTATAAAGAGAAAAAAAAACGAGGAAAGTCTATTATTCTATATGGATGTATAAAAGAATAAATACTTATCGTTATCGGAGTAGCACAGTTTATTTATAACCAAGACAGAATGGTAGTATGAGTCTGTGGTTGTAGAGTCATATTTTCAAACCTGGAGTTAATAGGTAAAATTGTGTAAAAATGTGTAAATGATTTGATGTGTAAGATTAGTAAAAAATGAAATAATAAATTAATGCGTAAGGTAAAAAAATTAATAGGTAATAAGTAAGTTTATAAGTTAGATTGGTAAAATTAATAAATTAATATGTATAATGATAGGGTTCAGACTCACACATAACTCACTTGTCTCGGTAGTCAGTGGATTATTAAAATTCGGTGTCTGTCTTAAGGATGTATCTGAGATACAGTCATTGACAAAAATCCCCCAAATTCGAAAAACTGGCATATCTACGCTAAACGTGCAGTAAACCTAGTGATAACTGATATAAATGATAACTAACATAATATATTTATTTTTAAAAAGTTATTTTTCACATTTGTCAGCACTTTATTAGGTTTATTTGCCATTTTACAACTTTTTACAATAAAACTTTTGGCAGTGAAAATGTCCAGAATGCAACCTTAGAATATCAAATTTCTTATTTATTTAACACCATTATTTAACAGTGTAATACAGAAAAAGTAATTGGAATATAGTTAAAAAGGTAAATATGCATTATTTAAACAATAACTATAAATATTATTTGTTATTAATATTAATATTTGACCCTCGATGAACCGGGTTAAACGTGGCAACAGCGCGACATTAAGTTTATGGCTTCAAGGTTGATAGCAATGCACTTTTGACATTGCGAGCTAACTTCTGTTTAGTCCTGCATCGCAATGTCAAAAGCCACAAAAATGTATCGGTGGAAAGGAAAAATAATTAGCGAAAGTACGTATCGAAAGAGACTTGCGCAACAAAGGTGTGGATTTTTAAGAAGAAAAGTTCAAATTGTGCAAGAAGAAAAAACTGAGCCCACCATGGAGGAAAATGTGAGCGAGAAACCAGAGTTTATGTTGTTTATAAATATTATTTAATTTTTATTCTTGTTCTCTAAATGAAAACAATACAGATAAAACGAGACTTTACGACGTGACTACTGTATCGGTCAGGTTATTCGCTTGACACGTTCAACTGATTGCGACGTTGCCGCACTTCTACAGTCCAGTAATTGACATTACAGAAACCGCAAAATTGTCATGAATAATAATTAATTTCTCCTAAACCATGTTGTGAAACCTAATCGAATTTTGCACAAAGTTCCAATAATCTATGGTCTATATGTATAAAAAAAAATTAAAATTTTGGTACTATTTTTTCTATACTTTATTACTCATTTCATTCAAGAAAATTGCGTTTCCCATAAGAACACGTGTAAAATCAGACATAATTGAAATAATAATTACTCTCTAACGATTTAGTAAATCTACTTAAAATTTTTTTCAGTATATTACAGATAACAAAGGAAGTGTTTCCCAAAGTTTCATCAATTTGGTACTATTTTGAAATAGCTCAGATACATCCTTAACATCTCACAAATAGCAACCGTACTGTTTAGCGAGTCGAATAATACTGATCGGCAAGAAAACAAGACTCGCTCCACAAGGTGAGCCAAAGAGTTAAACTGACTTAATAACTCTATCATATATTTGGTTTAAATTTTCTGTGTCCTTCTGTAAGTTTATTGTGTTTTTTGTTTTTTAATGAAGAACATTTCCGCTATCTCTCGTTTTCTTGTGGAGCGCTCACAATATAAAATTTTTGTTTTTGACCAATGGAACTTGTGGTCGTTGTTTAATATATATATAAGTAAATACATTACTAAGAATTCTCGATAATGAAGAAGAGCTTTAGGAGTTCAACTCCTTAATTACTACAATATCAATACATAAGATACATAAATATAATATTATAAATCGGATGTTTCGGTTTGGCTTTGAGTTACCAAACTAACTTGAGTTAAATCAAACTAATTTCACATGTAATATAGGAATAAATAAAGACCTTCAGGTTGGATAGTCTAAAAATAGTGTAATTTTCCACGAGAAAATTACTAACAATAAGTGGACTTTGGCCAATGATCAAGGTTTAAAATACGAAACTGAAAAAGAGTGAAATAGAATGACAATTTATGCACTGTTAACCACATTGTACTCTCGAAGGATATACATATAGCTGAGAACGAGTTCTCTCCGTGATGTAACGAACAACTATTTTACCTGTACTCGTTAAGGTCCCTCATCGTTATGATTCCCCCTTGTTCCTGCAAATCGTCAACAAGAAGTCGTCCGATCGTACCGTTGTAAAATTCAGTCGCATTTTTCTCAGCGATAATTCGTAGCGTTTCACAAAGTGCATGGGGTTTAATAATGGAGCCTGGTTTACGGAACTCGTTAGTAGCGGGATTGACGAACAGTTCTCTAAAAAATTGATGCCGAGATAATATTTTGCACACACATACCGCCGTAAATATTTTACCATTCATTATGCGTGGTCCTTTTGACATTCGACAAGCTCATACCTTAGAGTTGGATCATTATAAATGCTTTTCTTATTATACGCAAGGCCGTCGTATTGCACCAATGTCAGGACGTAGCCCTTTTCGCAAAGCTCGATGCTTGGTTTGAACAAATCCGCCCATGGCAGTCTACCGAATTGCTGATGAGCTTCCCAGTAACCGGCCAGTTCGCCGGGCACGGTGACCGCCAGTGCCCCTGCACCGATTAAAATTTATTAGTATTAAATATCTCAAGCAGAACGAAGCCATTTAAAAATTAAGACAAAAAGACAATCATTTCTAGTAAGTCAAACTGATCACTTAACAATTTTAATAAAACATAATTCTGTACTTGAGAGGTCAACTGTTGCAACTAACATTTCACAAATTATTTCGCTATGACTGTGATTTAATTTTGACTTTTCAATGATTTTTGCTGAGAAAATGCAAATCATTCGTATATATGAAATGATATATTAAAATCTCAGATATATTATTAATATTGTCACGCTTCACTCGCGCCGCGAACGCCAATCGCGTCACTCGCGCACAGGCACGACAATCCACACGCGCACAGATAAATTACAAAAGATTGGAATGACAAACTTCATTACAATAAAACGTCCGTCTAGCTTGAAAGCCAAACTTCCAATTTCTAACTCGATCAATACAATCATTTACAAAACAACCGAAATCGGTATCGTGGCGGGTTGCCGGGCGTCGCTTTCCAATCGCGGGCGTAACAATATTTTATGAATTTGTGAAAAAAAATTTATTTCTGAAGCATTTAATATTCGGATTTTTCATCCACAAGATACAAAATGAAAGCTCAGAAATACAAATCTTACAAAATATTGACTATTGCATTTTATCATTCAAATCATATTCTTACCATCATTTTTCAAAAAGAATATTTTGTATCTATCAGTATTCATTATTATACCACATGCAAGTCCTAACATACAATTATGAGTATCGAAAATAATCTAATAATAAGATGAAATTATCACGGATTATGTCAAACAGGATCTCAAAAATTTCAAACTCGTTTTTTGATCAATTTTCTGTCATGAATAAAATATGATTTTTGATAGTTATTAAAATGCCACTTTTACTTCATGACTTCTTGTTCTGCTTAGGTACTCTTTTATAGGAGAAGGCGATTAAGACGTTTGTTTTTATCAAAAAGTTTGCCGAGATTTACCGAACGCCGATGCATTTGCGGATTTGCCAACGTACATCGTAGCATTTGCCGCTAAAGGTGCGCGGTCTCTTGCATTGAGAACAAAGGCCCGGCGCGTGGATCTCTGATAGATCGTCATCATAAATCCACCACCGAAGCCTAGACTTTGCATGTTCACAAGTCCGTTGCATATTAGCGCGGCCAGCGCAACATCCACCGCCGATCCGTTGCGCTCCAGGATTGACCTAGAAAGATTTGGCGAATCAAGCGTATTTATCGAGTATATGTATATCAATTATTTTTACAAATTGTTAAAACAAATTCACGCATTTGACACACATACTTGCCGATAACAGCGCATGGCGCTCCGTCCGCGCAAATGGCACCGCGTTTGAATGTTCTTAATTTACTCCACGACGGTGGTTGGGGGTTTTCTGGATCGGGCGGCACTAAAAATTCATCATTTAGCGAGTCCGACGTGCCGCTACGCGCGTATGCACTCAGACCGATGATTATGGCAATTATCAACGCGGCTACAACAGCGCCAATTATGATAACATGTTGCACGCGAAATCGTGATCTGAAAAGAGAAATAATATATTGATAAGCACAATATTCTTGCAACTGGTCACTTTCATAAACACGGAGTTATCGCCATGATAATAATTCTCAACAACTTTGTTATTTTGCAACGGCATAGCGATTTCAATTTATCTCGAAAAAAGCTTTACGACGTCAAATATCGACATCAAATAAAAAATGAAAAAGTTATTTAATTTTAAGTAAAAAACGGCACTTTTTGAGCTTCTTTCTACATTTTAATTTTTTTAAATTATTGCAATCATTATTTATGGCTCGGACTAAGTTTATCCTACTTGTTAATGTTCATATGACATGTCTAATTTTTTACAACATCAAAAAATTAATAGTATTATTGCAGCAATTGTTTAAACTAGTGGGGTCAGATTGACCCCAGTGTGTAGCGTATGTCTCAAATAGATAGTCTTTTGCGTGTAAAATGTTTTTCTTTACAAAATATATGATAAATAAAGGTTGAATACATTATTTCAATACAGCATCTGGCGTATGCTCCGAGTTCGCAAATTATACGCCATCTAAAATTTATTATAATTATTATAATTTATGTTATAACTAATAAAAAAAATCACGGTATATAAATTAATACCTACATTTTTCTAGTTGAAATGCAGTAAAATTGAACAAAAAAAATTATTAAAAAATTCCTCCCAATATTCGTATACTACACATGGGGTCAGACTGACCCCAGCGTCTCGAAACGTCTACTTCGAACGGCTGTAACTAGTCAACTAGCACCTTGGGACCCACAACTAGTGTGTAGTCTTAAAATGGAAGACTTCAACTACCAATAGATGACGCCATAAGTTCCAACTTCACATTTTATATAGCAGATATTTTAACGCAAACTTTTGTTGGGGTCAATTTGACCCCAGGTGTAGTTTAAGGGTTAAGATTGTTTAATTATTAAGTGTGAGAAGTCTATATAGGAGAAGGTTCTCCATGTTGGATCAGTTTTGAGTTTTCTGAATCCTTTATTAAGTATTCAATTGAAACAAAATGTTATAACATATTATACACTTCATGCACTTTCATCGGGTAATATTATATTTAAAAATATATTCTTATAAAATGGAAAAATTCTTCTTCTTCTTCCTCCTCGTGTTAGGCTTAGAAGCTTGTTTTATCCAGTGCGTTCTGTGCCAGTTCTGTACCAGAACGAACTGGTACTTTGAGCAGTTACTTCAAAAAAAAATTTCAAAATCAGCTTTTATTCACTTTAGCTTACAGCCAGAAAGTGGGACTTGGTTTACAATAAAATCTTATCTCATTCATACATCCACTCCTCACTACTCTATTATTATATTATTCACTATCTACCTATTATCCTATCCGCTCTTAAATCTATCTATTTATTCTATATCTACTTATCGCCGCTTTTAACATCTATTTATCACCATTATATCACAATTTGTGTCGCCGAACTTTAATTTCCCTTTGAGCAGTTACTTCATCTTCGATATAGGCTGCTAACCTTGCCGAAGGAAACCTCCAATCTGGAAGGTTATACCCCTAAAAGGATATGTGTGGCAGGATACTCTCGGTGGTTATCACTTCCCTTCGGAAAATTCCGGAAAAAACAGTGGTATTCCGTGGATTTAAACTCGAATCTTTTCGTTCATTTGTTTACTTTATAGCAGCGCATATTTCCCTGCGCCACATTTGCGCTGGTGTGAACTTGGCACACCATATCGAAAAATTTAACAGTTTTTTTAGAGTTCTGGCTTTCTTTTGAATAGTTCTGATGATTAAATACAAAAAATCCACTTTGAAAATAGGGTGTGCCAAGTTCACGCAGCGCACCGAATCGTAAAAATCGATTGTTTCTTTGGAGTTCTGGTTAGTTTTACAATAGTTCTATAGTTCTGTGTCAAATGTATCAATAATTCTGGTATTTATAAACAAAAATCGATTTTTAAAAGCCTGGTGCCCAAAAACAATAATTCGTTTACAGAAAATTGCATGCAGATCGTCTATCTACATGTTTTCATATGGCTTTGTAAGAAATATTAATCCCTTTTTCCTATAAACTGATTATTTTTCAAATTAACACAATAATTAACATATCTAAACATCATATTTTATTAAAAAATTTTATTTTACGAGTTCTAGCTGATCTGACTAAAGTTCTATGTAGCGTTCCCAAAGTTCTACAAGAAAGTCTTATAACATTTTCTCGTAAAATAAACATTTTCCGAGTTATTGGTATTTTTAACTTATAACATCTATTGTAAAAAAATTTATTTCACTAGTTCCAGTCGATCTAACTAGAGTTCTGTGTAGAGTTTCCCAAAATTCTACAAGAAAGTCTTACATTTTCTCGAAAAATAAATAACGCTACACAGAACTGTAGTTAGATCGGATGTGTATGAAGTTGACATATCAATTGTCAGCATATAAAAAAGAATAATTATTTAAAGGTTGCCAGTGGTTAGAACTATGTTATCGAACTATAGAACTCGTCGAAGACTATAAAATTCAATGAAATCAATTTCGAAAACATGATATGATATGCTGACTTCGTTCGAAGTTAGCATATCATTTCTCAAATTTTATGATAAATGACCAGAACTATTGTTAAAATTTATCAGGAACTATAGAACTCTGTTGTATGCGAAGAGAACTTCCCTTTTTTTTTATATGCTGACAATTGATATGCCAACTTCATACACATAGTGATTATCGCGTGATTTAGATTGAGATCGTTATGGTCGTGTACGAGTATATGGAAACTTGGTAACGTCGGCTGATCGTGGTAGCACGGTCGACTAATAATATTTTGACTTGCGATCTCGTTGGTCTGTGCTGCTGTCGATGATTGTCTGGTAACCTTCATGAAAAACACATACTCGTTCCTGCCTTTTTTCGTGGACAGCACACGCGAGCCAGGTAGGTGCCAAATACTTTATACCGAGCTCTCGTGGAGAGAAGACTTCTAGAACAGTCTCTCGTTTGCAACATTGCGAACACTCACTTACGCCTGCTGCTTGAGATGGGGGTTCTCGTTGGTCAACCGAGTAGAGTTTTCCTGCTTGACAAACACACTTACACACCCACATTCACGCATGCACAGGGCCGGCGTTAGGCGCGTGCAACCGGTGCGTCGCACACGGCTCCGCGGTTTGATTGGCCTCGCGATTTGATCGGCTTCGCGGTTTGATTAGTTCTCCTTTAATTCCCGCGCTAATCAAGTGGCCGAATTCAGTTTTTGTTTGCACCAAGCCCCCGCTTAGCTTAGAACCAGCTCTGCGCACGCAGAACGCGCAGCATCAAACACACATCGCTTACGTTACATGGCTTTTGCTAAATTGCCTTTGGCAGAGGAACATGTAAGATCAGAAGCGGATTACGCCAGCCGAAAAACCGAGTTCTAAAACGATCGCGTTATCAGCTGTGAGAAGAGTCGCACAACAGCGCTAATGCGCAGCCGCGAGCTGCTTGACTGTGCGCACATGCGACGGCAGTCGGCAGTCAGGGCACGCGTTCGATCAGCAATCGAGAGAACGCGATCTCTTTTTCGGGACCTGAAGGCGTTAAGACGGTTTTCGCTGAGAGTATCGTTATAGTCGTGCAGAGTCAGTATTCAAATTATACATAGTTATACTTTAATATTAAAATTATCAGAAGCAGTGTTTATTAACAGCCCATCCAACCATCCTAGCGAACGCGATCAAAGTAAATTACAAACGAAAACACCAGGAGCGTAGCAGGCACGGCTTTGGTAAGTCATAATTTATTGGCCGATTTGTGCATGTCGTATTGCATCCTTGTTTAGCATAGCTATAGCTTAAAAAAATAACCTTTTCTAGAAACAAGATAAAAAACACGCCAAGTGTAAGCGCCATCCAATTAAGAATTATACCTATAATTTAATTATTTGGATATCTAAAGATGCTGTATAGAACATTTCATTGGCTACGGAATATCTAAAGATGATCTTAAAACAGTCTTCAATATAAAATCTAACTATGAATTCTGGTCCTAGTGCAGATACGAATGTTCATATGTACACGGAAAAAAATAATGTTTCAATAAGATCAGTGTAATTGAAACTACAAAAGTCGTGATATCACCTTAAAAAATAACCTTTTTTAATAAAAAAGGTTTAAAAAGACGCCAAGTATAAGCGTCATCCAATCAAGCATTATACACTGCTCAAAAGAAATATGGCATAGAAAAATTTTATGCAAAAATTGGTCAACTTTGACTGACGGTAACTCCGCGAAAAATCATCGTAAAATTATGTTCTTTTCTTTAAATTTAAGCTTGAAATCTCTACTTTAAGACACTATAGTTTTTTTTTTAGGTGTGATGCATCCCTACCACTGTAACACCTTAAATGTGAGGGCATGTTTGTTATATTGAAAATTACAAAGTTTGACGGAGTGCGCATGGACTTGCTACATTTTTTTTCGGGGATACTGTTTACAGGAACATAAAGTACGAACCTTCCTCTTCAATTTAAAAAAAAAAGAAGTCGCTGCCATTTTTTTCGCAAGGATACAGTACTTTAAAGTAACCCTTGCATTATTGGCATATACCAGGTTGCCGGTCGAATTTTGCACATCATGTGGCCCTGAAAAGAGCCGTTTGTGTGTGTGTGTGTGTGTGTGTATATATGTGTGTGTAGAATGACTCATTTTTGTGGTGCTTGATTAAAGTGAGTCCCCTTGCCTCTCACTTGTGTATGTGTGTGTTTAAATTTGAAAAACGCGTGTTTCCTCCGCATTGTTGAATTACTGCTTGCAGTCGATTCCTCATGTTAATGCAAGCCCTAATTCCTGTGGAATGTAGGAATGTCATTCCACAGGAAGAAATTAGGGCTTGCATTAACATGAGGAATCGGCTACAAGCAGTAATTCAACAATGCGGAGGAAACACGCGTTTTTCAAATTTAAACACACACATACATTTTTTTTAAATTGAAGAGGAAGGTTCGTACTTTATGTTCCTGTAAACAGTATCCCAGAAAAAAATGTAGCA